TTGGGTACTCGAGCAACCCCTTCACAGGGGTCACCTATCAGATATCCTGAATATCATTTACATTATGATTCGTAACAGTAGCAAAATTATAATTATGAGGTAGCAATGAAATATTTTTATGGTTAGTGGGCCCCACAACATGTGGAACTGCATTAAAGGGTCACAGCGTTAGGGAGGTTGGGAACCACTGCGTTAGAGGATAAAGTGTGTTTCCTAGTATCTCCTCTACTGCAGCACACTGGGACTTTGAACTGTGAACACAGATATGGGTCTCAGTGAGTGATGATGAGGCTTGTGGGAGTGCCTAGCAGGGACCCAGAATGTTCTCTCTACCTCACAATTGACCGTGTCAATATTAGGTGTCTATTAATTGTCTTTACTGAGTCCTCTTGAAGCTGGCTTGAAGCTCTGCTGAGATGGGGACACTTATCCTTTGTTAATCCTTTTTTATCTATCTATGGAAACCGAATTGAATATACCATAACTCTCATAATTATTATTTATACTTCCTCTAATGTCGATGACTCTCCCTGTCAGTGGAGCTGTTTAACATTGGATACTTCATTCACTTCATGGAGAACGGATTAAGAGCTAAGTCTGCTTTAATCAGATTCTAGTTTGGGGGCTGCAGAGATGGCTCAGAGGTTCAGAACTCAGGTTCGAGGACCCTGGTTTGGTTCCTAGAAGCCACATGGTAGCTAACCATGGACTGTGTCTCAAGTTTGGGGATCTGCCTCTCTGTGTATTGCATGCATATGGTGCATATATGCAGGCAAAATGTCTATACACATAAAACAAAATTAAAAACATCCATAATGCAAAATAAAATAAAAAGTAAGCCATATGACAAGTGGATTCCTTCTGTCATTTCCAGGTGCCCATCATCTCCTGGCCTGGTCCTCTGCTTTCCTTTTGCTCTGTCATGACCTGGGACTTTCCCAGTGCCTCCTGTCCAGTCAGGTCTGAACTGGGTACATCATGGGCTTTCTGACTTTTTCCTCTTGTAATGGGAAGATCATGGGGTGACAGTCACAGGAACATCTTCTCATGACATATAGCACATGCACACTCCCATAACCCCTTAAACATGATTAATAAAAACTCAGAGAGAGAAACTGGGTTCAACCTGAAGGCCAGAAAAGCACAACAGCCAGCCACTGATCTTCAAGTAAGCTTTATTTATTAAAATACAAATGAAATGCTACTACAAGTCCCCCAAATAATTAGTCTCTCTACAATATAGCATCTATATGAATACTCTTACCACTCACTGCACATAGCAAAAAATGATCATGTCCATCAGTGAGTAAGTCTTGGAGGTGTGCAGGAAAGGAAGTACATTAGCTTCCCCTGTCTTTGTGGATCTCTCAATGTGTTCTGGGTCTCAAAGGAGAGAATGACCTGTCTGCTTGTACATTCCATCCAGCTGATCATCAGGAGGAGCTCGGGAAGTCTGAGAGACTGTATAAGCATTTGTAAGGAACTGTTGCCATGGCTACCTCTGTCACTAGGCAGGGTCCTAGTGAAGCCACTGGCAGTGACGTGTGGGGAGTGGCTGAACATTGTTTTCCTCACAGTGCATTTGTATAGGAAGCTCAGTGGATCCTTCATGGTCTCCCCTGCAGTTCTGGAAAAATTACTGCTTGGGGGTGGATCTAGCTACTTGTTCCTGAGTGCTGCCTCACCCAGAGACCCACTTGTTCACGTACTCGAGAGCCTCATAAAAATACTAAACTAAAAAGCTGTAATATGTTTGCCGAGGGCCTAGTGAAGACCCGTGTAGACCCTGCACTTGCTTCAGTCTCTGTGGGTTCATATGAGCCTTGGACTGTTTATTCAGAGGGTCTTTTTCTTTTTGTGTCCTCCCTCCTTTCTGGCTCTGACACTCTTTCTGCCCCCTCTTCTGTGTGGTTCCCTTAGCTCTGAGGGAAGAAAATTGATGGAGACAACCCATATAGAGCTGCGTGTTCCAAGGACTCTCCGTGTCGACTCTGCATCTATTCCTGTGTGCTGTAGGAGGAAGCCTTTCTGATGATGTGCCTCAGCAGACAGGAAGATGCCATGTAGCATGTAGCCGCCAGAGGGGAAAGATGCAAGCTGCCAGTTGGAACCTTGCCCGTAGGCCACAAACCTCATGGTATAATATAAAATAATGGTTAATTCTAGATGTAAGATCTAGCTAGCAATATGCTCAAGCTATTGGCAAAACAGTATTGCCAATAATATAGTTTCTGAGTGATTATTTTTGGGAGTCTGTGCGGTCAGGAGATGAACAAGCAGCCTCCAACAACAGCTGAGAATGACTCCAGCCTCCAACAACAGCTGAGAATGACTCCATCACATTTCCTTTACCTGTTTTTTGGTTGAGGACATCCAGATTCTAGTTCCTGGATATCCTGAACAAGCCCACAGTGACCATAACTGAGCAAGTGTCTTTGTGGCAGGATGAAATGTCCTTGGGTCTATGCCTAATAGTGCTAAAGCTGGATCTTGAGGCAGATTGGTTCCTAACTTTCTGAGGAACCATCATATCAATTTCCATATTGGTTGCACAAGTTTACACTTCCACCAGCAATGGAGAAGTGTTTCTTTTACCCCACATCCTCACCAGCATGAACTGTCACTTGGGTTATTAATTTGGGCATTCTGACAGGTACAAGATAGTCCCATTTTATTACTTGTTGGCCTTAATTTCCGAGTGACCGGAGTTCTTTTCTGCCCCTGTCTTTTGTAGGGTGCTGCCTATGTTCTCCTCTAGCAGTTTACACGATCTATTTTTCCCTCATTGAGATCTTTGATTCATTTGGAGTTGAATTTTGTTCAGGGTGCTAGATACGGGTCTAATCCATTCTCCTACATGAGGACATCTAGTTTTCCTAGCACTCTTTGCTGTAGACGCTGCCTTTCCTCCAGGATTCATCTGTGGCAGTGTTGACAGATATCAGATGCACTCACGCCTGGGTCTTCTGTTTTGGTCATTGGTCATGTGTTCACTTTTGTGACATTGTCGCCCTGTCTGTGCTCTCACAGTTCCGAAATAGAACTTGAGGTCTGCAGTTGGAGCCCTTCCAGCGTTGTGCTTTTTGCTGAGGATTCCTTTGGCTACTGGTGGCTTTTGTGCTTCCGTATGAATTTCAGGATTTCTTATTTTGTTTCTGGGAAGAATGTCATCTGTGAACTGCTTTTGATAAAACAGCCCTTTTCACAATATTAATTCTTTCAACCCATGAGCATGGAAAGTCTTTCCATCTTCTAGTGTCTTCCTCCATCTGTAATTTTCAGTGATTTAAAGTTTCCATTGTAGAGGTCTTTCATGTCCTTGTTAAATTTCATTCACAACACACACACACACACACACACACACACACACACACACTACTCTGTTATTGTGAACGGTATTGTTTCCACGATGTTTTCAATTTCCTTACTTTTGTTTTGTTTTGTTTTTGGTTTTTCGAGACAGGGTTTCTCTGTGGCTTTGGAGTCTGTCCTGGAACTAGCTCTGTAGACCAGGCTGGTCTCGAACTCATCGAGATCCGCCTGCCTCTGCCTCCCGAGTGCTGGGATTAAAGGCGTGCGCCACCATCACCCGGCTCAATTTCCTTACTTTTGATATATAGAAAGGCTACTACGTTTTATAAGCTCATTTTTTTTTTTTTTTTAAATCTTGCCACTTGGCTGAAGGTCTTGATCGCTTCTATAAGTTTGCTGGTTGAACTTTTTTGGATCTCTTATCTATAACATTTTATCTGAAAAAAATGAATTATTTTACTTCTTTTCCTGCTTGGATGCCTTTAATTTCCTTCTCTTGTCTGATTGCTGTAGCCAAAGTCCACCGATTACATTGAAAAAGAGGGGACTAGTGGATATCTCCATTCATTCCTGACTTTAACGGAATTGCTCTGAGCTTTTTAACACTTAGCATGATGCTGGCTGTGGTTTTGTCATATACTTTTATGTTGAGGTGTGTTGCCTCCAGTGCTATTCACTCTAGGAAATGTATCATGAAGGAATGTTGCATGTATTGAGATAATCATGTGATGTTTTCATCAGCTGTTTTATTTTATTTTTTATTGCTTTTATTGAACTATACATTTTTCTCTTTTCCCCTCCCTTCTTCCCCTCTCTCCTTCCACCCTCTCCTATGGCTCCCACACTCTCAATTTACTCATGAGATCTTGTCTTTTTCTCCTTCCTATATAGATCTATGTATGTCTCCCTTAGTGTCTTCTTTGTTGACTGGGTTCTCTGGGGTTGTGGACCGTAGGCTGATTGACCATGTGATTTTTAGTTTAAATTTATTTTTATTATTTATTACATTAATTGACTTATATGTTTTGAACTATCTCTGCTGCTCCAGGAAAAAGCCAAGTCGATTGTGGTAGATGATCTTTTTGATGCCTATATTCAGTTTGTAAGCATTTTACTAAGAATTTTTGTATGTGTTTATCAGGAATATTGGCCAGTAGTTTTATTTGTTGTTGTTGTATTTTTCTCTGGTTTGATATTAAAGTACTACAGACTTTGTAGAAGGAGTTTAGAAGTGTTCCTTCTGATTCTATGTTGTTTATATAATTTAAGGAGTATTGGTTACAATTCTCCTTTGGAGGTCTGGAAGATTTTTTTATGAGTCCATCAGGGCCTGGTTTTTTTTGTTTTTGTTTTTGTTTTTAAGTCAGAAGCCTGTTTGTTACTGTTTCTATCTCCTTATTGAATGAAAATGAAGTCATGACTGCTCCTAGCTATAGTTAAGGGAAGGGTTTCATTGTAGATATAAAGAAAAAGTACAGTTAGGGGTGTCTAGAAAAGTCCAGACTGAACTACCCATGATAGGAGTGTGAGGAGTCAGAAGTGGGTGAGTTGGGTAAGAGATTAAGAGGAGAGAGAGAAGGAGAGAGGGCAAGATGGAGCCATGGACCAAGATGCCAAGACAAAAATCAGGAGCCAAGAGAGGTAGACCAAGAAAATTCTCAGCCGAAATGCTGAGTCATATAGAAACAGAAGTTGGGGGAGGGGAGATACCATGATCAGGAAGGCAGTTTTCCCAGGAGGAGGCTTATCCATTGCTGTCCAATGTGCTGACCCCTGTGATTTCCCCAAATGCGGGAAACTCCACTGCATAATTTGTGGTAGTGGGGGACTGTGTTAGCGCTCACCCCTGTAGAAATTAAAAAAAAAAAAAGAAAGAAAGAATGAAACAGAACTTGGGGGAAGGGAAGCCCAGTCCCTGGGCTGGAGAGGTTTAGGGGAGGGATGGGGTGAGAAGTTCTGGGAGGAGTCACAGGTACTGAGTGAGACTTGCTCCTTTGAGCCCCAACACTTAACTGTTGTAAGTCTGTTTAAGTTGTTGATCTCTTCTTGGTTTAACTTTGGTGTTTGGGGAATCTAGAAATTTGTGCATTTCCTTTAGGGTTTTAACTTTATGGAGTATAAGTCTGTAAATATCTTCCTATTCTGTTCTGAAATTCTTTGGTGTCTGTTGTAATGTCTCCTGGTATATCTCTGATTTTTTTTTTTACATCCCTCTTTATTTGGATGTACTGGGCTAAGAATTATCAGTTTTGTTTATGTTTTCAGAGAACCAGCTCTTAGATTGGTTGATTCTTTGTTTTTATTTTATTAATTTCTGTTCTGCTTTTTATTATTTATTTCTATCTACTGGATTTAGGAATGGTTTGTTTTGTTTTATCCAAATCCCTGAGTTTCATCATCAAGTAATTTATTTATGTTCTTTCTGATTTTTTAATGTAGGACCTAGAGGTATAAACTTCCCTCTTGAAACTGCTTTTAACGTGTGCCAGATCTTGTATTCCTTTAATTTTTGTAGAAAATTCTTTTTTCTTATTTGTAGTTTCTAAGGATCTGGTGAACTTCTCAATAATTAAACAAAAATTTTAAAAGAATCATTTTAATTTTCTAAGCGTGTGTGTGTGTGTGTGTGTGTGTGTGTGTGTGTGTAGGTATGTGCATGTATGTAAGGGTATATGCAGAAGCCAGAAGCGGGTATTAGGTCCTTTGGAGTGGGAGTTACAGGTGATGAGCTGCCTGATTTGGGTGCTGGGATATGAACTCTGACCCCATGTAAGAGTAGGAAATCCTCTCAAGAAGGAGTAATTTTTCCAGCCACCCCTTAAAAATGATTTATAAATTTATTTTTCGAAGTACACAAAACACAAAAGTCATACATTTTGGGGGCATACCATGTGACTTCTTTTTATATACGCGTCACTTCTTCATGGTGGAAACACTGAATGTCCTTTCTTTCTGTTATTTGGGAAGATGGACCACATCGTCAGGGTGCAGTCACCTGAGGTGCAGTGTCATATCGGAGCCTCCTCCTAACTGCAACTCAGGACCCATGAGCTCCCTCTCTCCAGTCTCTTCTCTCTGGCACTTCTCAGCTTCGAACACTCACCATTTCCACTGAGTCCCATCACCTCCTCGGCCCTCCTTCTCATCTTCCTCTGTCTTTGAGACAGAATCTCGCTATGTAGCCCAGGCTGCCCTCAAAGTCCTAATGATTTTCCCAACCCAGTGCTGGGACTATGGGCAGTGTCATTACATTTGGCCAGGAGTTTGTGTTCTTTCCGTATTTGTGTAGTAACCCTCTGTTAGAGGAACAGCTGGCAGAGATTTTCTCCCATTCCTCAGGAGCGCTCCCTTTGCTGTGTAGAAGCTTTTTCCTTTAATGCATTCTTGCTTGTCAAATTTTTTATTTATTTTCTGAACTATTGAACCCTAATACACACCTTAGAGCTTATTCCATGTGTTTCCTTCTAGAAATTTCTAAATTTCAAATCTTTTTTTTTTTTTTTTTTTGACAGGATTTTCTGTAGCTTTGTACAGCTTTGGACCCTGTCCTGGAACTAGCTCTTGTAAACCAGGCTGGCCTTGAATTCAGAGATCCGCCTGCCTCTGCCTCCTGTGAGCTGGGATTGAAGGTGTGAGCCACCACTGCCCAGCTAAATTTCAAGTCTTAATTAAGGCCTTTGATTCATTTTCAGTTTGTTATTTTCTTTTTTCAGTATGAGATGCAGAAATCTCATTTCGCTAGTTTTTACATGTAGATATCTAGTTTTATTCTTTCCTTTTTAAAAAATATAGTTCACAGTATTCTGGTCTCCTTCTGGGGATTTCTGGAGTCATTATCTCCATTTTGGACTGAGGTAGAAGTGTGTGTGGGGATACACATTTTGGGAAGGAAACTGCAACGGAAGGCCATAGAAAATAAGGGCCACTTAGTAAGGACAGATGGGACCAGGCCCGAGCCAGCGACTTCTGCAACCAGGACCAAGCCAGCAACCTCCATGGGAGCAGGCCTAATCCAGCAAACTCCGCAGAGCAGGCCTAAGCCAGGGACATTCACAGGAGCAGGCCCTACCTCCACGGCAGCAGGACCACATACTAAGAAACAAAGCAAACCTCAGTAGCCACACACAGACACAAAAATTTGAAATAACCCCCTGTATCTTATTGGATCACGATGGCTTAAAATTAGAATTCAACAGCAACACTAATGTCAGAAAGCCCATAAACACATGGAAATTAAACAATGCTCCCCCGAATCACCAATGGGTCAAAGAAGAAATAAATAAACAAATTAAAGACTTCCTAAACTTCAATGAAAATGACTACATGACATACCCAAATTTATGGAACACAATAAAAGCACTGTTAAGAGGAAAGCTCATAACACTTAATGCCTATATAAACAAGCTGGGAAAAAAATCCCACACTGATGAGTTAACAGAACACCTGAAAACTCTAGAACAAAAAGAAGCAAACTCACCCAGGAAGACTAGACAGCAGGAAATAATCAAATTGAGAGCTGAAATCAACAAAAGAGAAACAAAGAAATAATACAAAGAATCAACTAGACAAAGAGTTGATTCTTCAAGAAAATCAACAAGCTAGACAAATCTTTATCTAAACTAAACGAAAAGGCAGAGAGAATATCCAAATTAACAAAATAAGAAATAAAGGGGAACATAACAACATACATGGAGGAAATCCAGAGAATCATTAGGTTATACTTTGAAAACCTGTACCCCACAAAATTGGAAAATTTAAAGCAAATGAATATTTTCCTGGATAAATACCATGTACTAAAATTAAATCAAGGTCAGATAAGTAAATTAATCACACCTATAAATGAAAGAAAACAGCTAAAGAAACAGTCATCAGAAGTCTACCAACCATAAAAAACCCAGGACCAGATGGTTTTAGCACAGAATTCTATAAGATTTTCAAAGAAGAACTGATACCAATACTACTCAAATGGCTCCACACAATAGAAACAGGAGGAACATTGACAAACTTTTTTTTTTTTTGTTATGAAGCTACAATTACCATGATACCCAAACCACACAAAGCCATTACTAAAACAGAGAATTGCAGACCAATCTCCCTCATGGACACTGATGCAAAAAATACTCAATAAAATACAGGAAACTGAATCCAAGAACACACCAGAAAAATCATCCACAAGACCAAGTTGGCTTCATCCCAGAGATTGCAGGGATGGTTTAACATATGAAAAGCTGTCCATGTAATCCACCATATAAGCAAACTGGAAAAAAACCCCACATGATCATCCTATGAGTTGCTGAAAAGCCTTTGACAAAATCCAACACCTCTTCATGATAAAGGTCTTGGAGAGAGCAGGGATACAAGGGATATACCTCTGAAACCTTTGTTTTGCTTGATAAAAAGCAATTCTTTACTGGGGAACGTGTATCTCGGTGTGGTTTTGCTTTGCATCTTCCGTGTGCTCAGTGATCCTGAGTGTTTCTCATGCATCTACAGGTCGCACACATAAGTGACTGGGAGTTGCCCAGCTCAGCAGAGTCCTGCAGGCCATCTGGGAGCACAGACAATGCCTGGGGCTGGAGGCATCCTGTTATGTTCCAGCTCAGCCACCAGGATTCAGACAGAGTCAAAGCAGGGAGGGGCTGATGGTGAAGCATTAGCAATGCCAGGAAGATAAAGGGACACAGCACACCACGGGGAGAGCAGGGAGCTGCAGACCCAGGTGCTAGCCTAAGCCTCCCGTTTGCTGAGACTTATTTCCTGAGTCAGTCTGTGATGAGACTAGATTTATTTTGCCCTGCCCCTGGATCCCTGACTCCTCCCTCCAGCACTCCCTGCCCTGGAATGTCTGCAACTTGAGACTCTGTAAGCCCATAGTCCAATAGGAAAGCAAAACCGAGTCCCACCTCCTCCGGCCTAGCCTAGGATAGTTCCGAAAACTTAAACTAGCAAGATCCAGGTTGGCCTGCTCTGGATACCACCCAGCATCATGCCTGCCACACTGGGTTACTGGGACATCCGTGGGGTGAGTACAAGAGCAATTGCTGGGTGGGACAGAGACATGGGGTGGGAAGCAGCTAGGGCTGACTTCTCACTGATAGATGGGGCTCCGAACTTGCTAGAAAACTTTGCATGTCAGGGGAAACACAGGAGAGCTTGTGCTTATGAGGCCTGTGAGTGAGCTTGTGGGGAGACTGCAGGTGTATGGGGGAGGCTCACCGAGGTGGCTAAGGAAGAATGTCGGAGTTCCCCCGTCTGTGACCTGGCATATGTCATCTTTCCAGCTGGCTCACGCCATCCGCCTGCTCTTGGAGTACACAGACACAAGCTATGAGGAGAAGAGATACACCATGGGGGACGGTGATTACAAACTGGTGCTCAGATTGGGGCTCTCCTGCTCACTGGTGTCCAGCAGCACTTGTCTAACTCCCTGTGGCTCACAGCTCTACAGGGTTTCTCAAGTTGGATTTCTTAAAACCTCCTTGAATTTGGTCTTTCAGTGGAGGGCTGGGTTGCCTTCTACATTAATTGGATGATGTTCTCCTCTGGGCTTGTTTTAATGTCTTGTAAATCACAGTGATGTAGTGCCCACAGTCCTTACAAGCATCCTATACCCTTGGGGTGTGCAAAACTGGGTCAGGCTGCAGATCTCCTTCTTGTGCCGGCTGTGTGTGTGGGGGGTGTCTCATGCCTGACTCCTTGGAAGGGTCCCGAGAGAAGGACTCTGAGTCACTGGGGTGCTTTCTTTTCATATCTTGTCACACAGCTCCCGACTTTGACCGAAGCCAGTGGCTGAATGAGAAGTTCAAGCTGGGCCTGGACTTTCCCAATGTAGGTGCAGGGAAGGGAGAT